TTAATCTCAATTGGTGACCTTAATTGGTATAACGTCACTCTACATTATTGGTACAGCTGTATGCAATCTTTTGATTTTTTTAAAAAATGAAATTCTAATGTTCATTATTACACAAAATTGTTATGACAGGAATTATATATTTTCTTCAAGTGACCTCAAACTTGTACAAATGACCCCGAGGTAAAGTCATGACAAAACATAAGTTTAAAGTGATTGTGAGTATTGTACATGTATCTATTTGAATGTTGAAGTACACTACAGCGACTCCTCCCGCGTGCCAAAGTGACTTTGGGCCAATTTTATTTCACCTTCAGGTCAAAAGAAATATATGGGTGGGACACCATTGCACGAAGAGATAAGGTAATTCCTAATCCCCACCAAAACGTCACTTGTTGGAGTATTTAAAAAGTAATGCAAATACAAAGGCCGCTTTTAATCGGGACAGTAGAGCTCAGTTTCATCAGAGATGTCTTGATACTAATATGATGCGAGCACAGAAAGAAAATATTGGGTGTTGGTCTAATTACATTCAGTACATTTAGCTAAAAACAATCAATATTTTGACCTTGCATGTCCATGATAGGGAATATAATATGCTGTTAATATACCGATTAGAAGATTACCTCAGTCCTTATAAAACTGTCCTACATTTACATAAGTAAGAGACAGTGCGATATTTTTAAAAACCAACTTAATATATGTATGACTTCTATATCAAGAAACATCTGAAACACAAGGCTCAGTGGAAATCCTCCATTTAATTGATATGTTTTCTATCTATACATATACTTCTATACATGTACTTCATAGCATCTCATTATCATCGCTGTTGCGAAAGTAAAACTTTATTGTCATTATATCGATATCGATCAGAATAGATTTAACTCTTCATTGTAAACGAAGGCAGCGCGGTTAGATATCTTCACAAGAGGAGTTAACAAAAGTAATTCATTTCTAATAATGAACGTTAATTGTGGACTTACTTTTTTTAAATAAATCACTTTTATTTATGATGAAATTTTTATTATATGTAACAAAATATATATGACTCCTGGAGCCCATTATACAGAACTGCTAGGACCAAACTTTGTTTTCTTGCAATAGTCTACAGAATACCAAGGCATAAGCTAGACATTCAAAATTACAGCCCATTCGGAGAGATGCTACGTCTAAATCATTAATTATTTTAGAAATATGTATAGTTATCTTTACTTTTCTAAGCTTAGAGTTTTTTATCGGTCTGTCCTCGGGATACGACGTTCGTAAAGTATACAAGAAGGTAAATTAGTGGTAAAGATGAACAAACCAGGCTTGTACGTATTGAATTCACTAGGTGTACGTATTTTGCATTTCACTCCACCTTTTAGATACAAAATTTACATGATGAAAACCATAAATGAATACTCAAGGCACACCAGCATGTATATTGTTTAGCTCAATTTGATAAAAAAAAAATTAACCTATTAAATTATTGGAAAATTGTAATCATTGTACGTTTAAAATTAATTTGTTATTTTTCCCCCGCTTTATTCATTTGTGTTATAATTTTAACTGTTCAACGTTACAACGGCTCTTGCGTCTATTTAAGCGCACTAGTTCTGAAAGGCGCTAAATTCATAATAAAGATTAAACAAATTAACAATAAATAATAGGGAAAATTAGAGAATGTAAATATAAGCATTGAATTCTTATTTTTGGATGTCGTCGGTTCTATAAGAGCACATGTCCGTATCGACAAATTATCAACGCGCGGTATTCAAATCGTCGGCACGACCGGTACTGTTAGAGGACCGACGACATCCAAAAATAAAGCTTCAATGCTTAAATAATTTAACTGAATAAAATAAAATGAAATATTATTGTAAATATATAGTAAGAATAAACTATTTATTATATTAGATGATCATCAAAAAACTTAAGTACAAATAAAGTATTGTTCATCGGTCTTTAAAAAGTAATTCTCTGTATTAGGCTGAGAGAGCTTAGTTAAGGATACACCAAAGGCTTTTTTCAAGATTTTCAACAATTTTGAGATTTTTGGCTAAGAAAAAGAAGTTAATCACTGCTTTATAATGCATGCAAAATTCTGGGTAATTATGAAATAGTTTTCTAATTATTTAACAATAATGAAACATAAACACTACCGCATGTGAATGTTCCGTTATTGAAGCTTCTGATTTGATCTGTGACTGCCTGCTCATGAAAGAGGCAATAAATCACTGTGACCACTTGGGGAATTCTTCACTAGCCACACAGAGATTATCAGTAATTAAACTACAGGGACTCTAGATTTAGAGAAGGAGATCTAACAGATCACTGATGACCATAAAATAGGAGGTGGAGCTTAGCTCTTGCCATTTTGCCGGGAAATCTTTCTGATTCAGAATTAAACCTATTTTACTTAATTAAAAGCATCTAAATACAGAAAAGAACCTCCCATTCTTGTGAATATGCATGGGAAATATGGCTAAGTGACAGGTATCCAAAGCTGAATCTCCAAGGTGTCATATATTCCTAGCTTTGGCAGATTTTGTTGTGTAATGGGTTTTTGCCCTCTACTGTAAAGTAAGATCAGACAGTTTGTGGTATTATTTCAAAGGATTCAGCTCTCTCATTTATTGACCAATTTCTCTGAAAATTGGATGGGTTGCTTCTCAAATGTGTGTTCACAAAACCGTATCTCAGATTTTTGATATCTAGCTTAGTTTTGGAATTACCGAGGGAAATGTTAAATTAGGCTAATAAATTGGCAATATTGAAGGGCAAATGGCTGTAACTTTTGAATTAGAAGATTTATCAAAAATCTGAGATACAGTTTTCAAGTTCGATCTTTAATCTACCTTGAGGCAAAATGACCACTTTGAGGGGTTCAATACAAAAAAGTTGATTTATAAAATATTTATGCACTAAAATTTACATTAATATTTAAATAATTTTTAAATAAGTAATTAATTAAAGTTTAAATTAGGATAATTAAATTGTAAATTTAACAAGCTTTCAAATGATATATACTTTTATTATGTTATCTTTGATAATGAAAGAATTACATGCAAATGAAATTCTGGCATTTGGAAACCTTTGGTGTATCCTTAACATCCGATGGTAAGGTATCCCTCATCTGATTGTAAACGATTTTTCAAACGGCTACTACTCTCATAGATTTTGGACATTTATTATGTTGCTATAAATAGTGCTTTGTGAAATAAAGAAAGGTAGAACATTATTTTTTAAAATTCTACCTTGATTTTCCATGTTCACACATACACATGTCGCCCGCGTGGCGCAGTGGCTGGAGGATGGTAGGGAGTTGATCCTTACGTTCCGGGTTCGAACCCACTGTGCGATGTGGAGACAGATTAGACTGTACAACCCCAGGTCCCATGTCGTAGTACAAGTAGGTGCAGGCACGAAAAAGATCCCTCACTCATCAAGGGCTGTAAGTGCCGAGTTTGGGTCTAAATTTGCAGCCCTCCACTGGCAAGGGTGGCGTTTCAGTATGTTTGAAAATCTCTCAAAGGGAATGCACACAAATATATCTGTTTATACATGTATTTTTCATGGCGTCAGAATACTTATGCATAGCGTTGGGTATGAAAAAAATCTAAATATAATTAGTGATTTTCACTGAATAAAATAGTAAACATGTTATAAAATGTTGTGTATCGCTCTTTTGATTTCGACAAAAACGTAATGTTCTTTCAGAAATATCACTATCTGTCCATGAAATATATGGAGTTAACGAACAGTACTCAAGCTCAAAAGTCCATAATCAATACAAAATAGGAGCAGAGCAAACACGGACCTCCAAACATCAGAGGTGGGATCAGGTGCCATGGAGGAGTGAGCATCCCCTGCCGACCGGTCACACCCGCCGTGTGCTCCTTGTCATGATCGGGAAATAACGGAAAAATCCGTCGACAATTCAGTGTGTAAATAATGGCCTAACAATTAGTGTGAAAAACGTCAGTCAGCGTTTGACTCAATGATAAATTGTATTTGCTGACAAGGTCATCTATGTTTCTACTTCATTTTTATCTAATCTGATCTGTAAAATGAAGAAATATCAAAATTAATCTAATGTCTTGTTTTCACTCATTAGTTTTGTGGTTCAAACCAGAAGAGACCCTATGAAATAGAGAAAAAATTGGTTTTACAATTTGAGATCTATGTTTTAACCTTTGCTTGTCAATGCATGTACTGTGTTTTTGTTTGTTGTTTAACGTCCCTCTCGAGAATTTTTCACTCATATGGAGACGCCACCACTTGCCGGTGGAGGGCTACAAATTTTGACCTGTACTCGGCACTCAGGGCCATTGAGCAGTGAGGGTTCTTTTACGTGCCAGCACCTACTGCGACATGGGACCTCGGTTTATACGGTCTCATCCGAAGGACCGGTCTCCACGTCCCGCAGTGGGATTCGAACCCGCGACGTAAGGATCAACTCCTTATTCCGCGACTCTAGAGCAGACGCTCTAATCACTGCGCCACGCGGGCGACTTATAATTAACCCTGAGAATCAATAGAAAATATCCATGTGTGTCTTTCAGTCGCAATTTTAATTAATCATAACGGCAAATTATCGTGTTTTTATATTTTTAATTGTAAACATTACAAGGAATATATGGTATAATAATGCTTTATTTACCACATCCTGTCTCATCATACATGTACATCACTCTTCTGAAAAGATTTTAACTGCTATCATGCATCACTTGAAATGCAAGGATTTCCATACCTTTTCTAAAAAGATTTAGGCTATTACCAATATTTCATTAATGATGCACTGTGTCATATTTAGAATATTTAGATACTTGTACTAAATTTTAAAAATCAAGATACGCATGTATTTGCTTTCTTCTTAACTAACTAGATATATATGAATGTTTCAGTCTTTCTCTGTGCTAATTATGAACTACCACCCAGTGGATGCCCAGGTCTTATTTATTATATGTACACAAACTTAGAAGCCTCTATTAAGATGCTATCTCGTTATATTACAGCGAAAGGGAGTTGATGTGCAGAACAGGCTTTGATTTCATCTTAACGGCTAAGGTAAGTTCAGTTTTGTGTTCTAATACAAAGATAGCGTCTCTTTATTTTTACAGTTTAGTGAAAAATTTACCAGTATTTGTTGAGTACAGAGATATAATTTTCATGTCTAAGGTAGCATGTGAATGCTGCCCATTTCTAAATGCTTAGTACTGATTTACAATATGGCATTCCAATGCCATCGCCATTCCGGAAATGGAAAATAGTAGAATTAAAAAGGGTGCTTTCGTGAAATAACATATCCTTAGAAAAACATATTTACCAGGAAAGGGTTTTTATTTCAAACAATACCGTTCTATTTGGTCGATTATTGCTTCCCATTTCAAACAAAACAGCCGACATTTGCTGGCATTGTTAAAATTATTTCGGAATGTTCCCGGTGCAGATTTGATTTTTGTTCCTTGTATTTTGGTCATTTATGACTTTACATTGTATTAAAATAAACCTTTTTGTTGAAAAACAAACTTACAATGTACAAATCACTCACAGGCTCAGCTTGATTATAAACCTTTGATTAGAATAGCTTTGGGGTAACTATTGACACTACAATGTACATGTAACTGGCACAGGTTCCTTCTACTTTGATGCAGATTATTTTGCCTTCAAGCTTTAAAAAGGCCATCTTTTTTTTTTAATTTCACGCACAGACTGTTAAAAGGAATGATATTCAAAATATGGCTTTCCTTGTTTCCTCGTTGTGTTTGGAATTGTAATTTTAACAGGAAAGTGATATGCTCCTTGTACATGGATATAAAATGTTCACCGATTGCTCCGTACATACCGACTTGTATATGGTGATAAATCGGATCTTATAAATGTATTCATCTTAGTTAATTATTTTTTCTCTACCTCATCCAAGAAAGGTATGTAGAATGCTTAATACCTGACTATTAAGGACTATGCATAGTATCCAAAATTTTACAACCTGGACCCAGACCCCTTTTCACGTTTATCATGTTTGCTAGAAAGTTAACCCAAGAAATTCTAAAAAATCACATCAAAATAATAATATGAAAATGAATATACCAAAATACATAAAACATACAAACTAAAAAGGTTTTCTTTCTTCTATAAGCGCCTGGCTCTTATTACAATAGAGCACGAGTAATATTGTTAAGATAGGTGACTAGAAATCGATGAGGTATGAAATATTTTACACATCACACACAAATATAACCTTAATTATGACTGCATTGATTAATGAACATTACATTAACAATAGGGGGATATAAAGCTTCTGCATGGAGTATATTTATCCAATAAATACCTGCTAGCTATACTTCACTGTCATATGTTTGTCATATCAATAAGCTGGTTTCAAATCATCTAGTGCTGAACAAAATCTGACACATTTCTGCAATGGTTTGGTATTGTTAAAATGTACTTAAAATACACCAAAATATCGTTTCTTAAATAATCTCGGGGGTTTGTTCCGACTGTTTATTGCGATTTGTATGGACCGAGTCCTAGAGGAATTAGTTTCTGTGCTTTGAACATTTAGATTTCCAGTAACAATACAGAAATGTCCATAAGGCCTGACACATGCTGCTTTTTTTCGTCCCACTTGTACATTAAGCCACTTGATAAGAGGCTGTGTCTACTTCGCTATGTTCCTACTTCCATCTTATAAAGTGGTACTGCAGGCCAGTCCATAGAAGGGATAGAATTGTTATCACTCAATTACGTCGTGCATCAAGGGTATAATTCACAAACGAATGAAGATTTAATGAATTAGCTTATTACACATATTAAATAGAATTCAAAGTGATTGCTGAAGGGAATGAAATAAGCATATTAATATATAGATTTCTGAAGTTGTTAATTAAGATTGATTTTCTGAAGTTTGACTTGATGTGTTAGAAACTTCAAAGAAAACAATGTAAGAACATGTAAGCGGGAAGGCGATGTTAGAATGTAAAAGAAATCATTCACATCTAAGAAAGGTAAGTATGAACGACATGTTAGGAATTTAAAGAAGTCCGCGATGAAAGATTTATATAATGCTTTGCTTGAAGTTAAAGTGAATAGCTGGTAGTCTATTGCCTAGGATGATGCTAAACTATAAAAGCAGCTCATTCCCCTGTCCCCTTTTCTGGCTACAGCCTAAATATATAGCGAACTGTTCTTGTAATGAAGATGAAAATACAGACACCCGATTATTTAACATTATCAATGCTTTTTTAAATGTAAATCATATACGGTACCAATTTTGATGCACCAGATGCGCATTTCGACAAATTATGTCTCTTCAGTGATGCTCATGCCGAAAGGATGGAAATCCGAAATATTTAATTTCAAAAAAATGAAGAGCTGGAAAAAGGGGTGCCAAAGACTAAAGCCAAATATGTCGAAGGATTAGACCTATGCATGAGGGAGGTAATCCTTCATTTTGAAATAAATTTCTAAATTAAACCGCAGCAATCAAATATATATCTGATTCAGTATTTTCAAGCTAGTACTGAAGTACTTTGCTACAGGGCAGTAGATATTAGATTCTATTTTTGCAAGCCTGGTTCGTACATACAAGCATTGATATAAATTATATCAAACTAGTACTTTGAGAAAAGTTTTACTGTGGCAATACATGGAGGTATAGAGAAACATATTTCGAAAATTTGTATCATTTTTATATGAAAATAATTTTTGCAGTGTATCAAATGCAAATTTAATAAGCACTACCACATGAAAGTTGTCTGAATTTATCGTAAATCACTTTTGAAAGAATGAGAGTATTTTTTTTATTGGCAAGTGATTTGAGTTTAATATTTTGAACCCTTATGTATACCTTTGACAAGAAAATGAACGTGGCCATCTTTATTAAATTTTTGGGGTTTCATCTATCACGTGTTTCAGCAAAGATTTCACTTTTCCCGCCTTATCAATACCGTATCTCGGTATTGGTTTGGAATGGTTATTGAATTTTAGTTATCATGGACTGCGTTTGTATTTAAGAGTCCCCCACATGCCTCGCCGGAATAAGTACAAATTGATTTGGTATCGACAGAAGAGACGATATCGCAAAACGAACGGTAATTTAGATTCAGATTAGAATGCAATTTTCACTGCTGCCTGTGAGGCGAGTGAAATGATAATTTTCTGAGGTCACGGAAAAAGATGAAGATCGCTAATTGCAATATGTTCATATTAAAAAAAAAACCGCGGTTTCTTCATTGGGATATTGAGTGAAAAAATAAAAAAAAAGGGACAAATCGTTCTAATCCGTACATTTTAGATTTGATCATCGGATTCAGAGAGACTTTTAGTAGATCAGACTCCTGCACACCGAAATTTTATATCTTGGGTTGTGACGGTTACAAACAAGTCATATATGTACTCATATACCGACAATAATTAGCAGATGGCGCCAAGAACATACGCTGTCCTTTATATGAACAACAGTCTTCAAACTTTTTTTAGAATGACAGTTATCAAAACCATACTTTTCTTCCGCATTTTGCTTGCAAGTTTCTCCTAAAATAAGTAAATTTGCCTCGTCTGGCATTGACAGTCAATAGTTCAGAAGTTATATTGATATGCAATTCCAGAATAGCAAATGTTGGCTTTTCCAGAGGAAAACGAACAACACATAACTCTATGGCATCATGAAAATTAATAAAGTGAAAACCAGTATTGACTTTCTCTCAGTTAGTATAGGAGAAAACGCGTTCGGGCATATAACTGGAGTCATTTCGGCGTAACATGTCCTTGATGTGCAATCTTCTCTTTTTCGTGTTGGTTCTTAAGAGTTATTTTGCTTTAAAAAATAAAATTTGTCTTTGTTGCATATGAAATATCACCTCAAAATGAAAATTATATTTTGATGTCGGAAAACAAGTTGCGGATATTCGTGACTATGGCTAGAAAAGTAGCAGAACAAGAGGCAAATAAGATCATTTTGTTCTAAGATATTGCTTTTATTAAACAAAAATTTAGAACTAAAGTAACTCATTAAATTGGTCAAAAACTCTTAAAACTAGGCACTCACACGGACCTGAAGGCAGCCCCTGGACTGCCGCTCCCCCCTTTAAAGAAATTATGAATCCGCCACTGAAAAATGTATTGATCATATTACAATATCAAACAAAGACTAAACATAACAATATTTAGCAAGAACTAAACATATACTTAAAATCAGATAGGAGACATCGATATAAGTTCAAATAAATCCTCGCGCTTTCCAGTATTATAAATATCGATTTTCAGACTTTATGATCTGTAAACTACTTTCCAGTTGGATGATGAACAAGAGCATTACCGCTTATTTATGTCAGAAGTGGGAAGTATTGAGGTAGGGCTATACCCAAGAAGTGTGGTTTCCTTCCAAAACCTTCCTGAATCTGAAGTCTATGTTGTGTATAAATCACTGATGTGAGTCTCATATAAACTATAGAAGATCCTGAATTCTTTCCCGTCTAAGCTCATCTTAGTTTACCATATTATTACCTGAATGTTTTTATCTTGCATAAAAGCAAGCGCGACGAATTCTCTAGTTTTCATGCTAAAATTACTTAAAGTTAGGTTTACCAAATTCAAAGTGATCCTAAAGTGGTCAACATAAGAAGTTTGGCTGTATATTTTTTTTTTAATTTATTTTGCTAAATTAAGATTTTTTTTAATTTTTGAAAATGCTCTCAAGTCCAAAGATTTCAAGAATGGAAAAAGCCTTAAGTTCAGGTATGTTTTGAGCCAACTCATGACGAGAAATCTGACGTTCGACACGTATAGACATTCATATATTCGTGTCTTTTGTCCCTCATTAAGACCGTGAACAGACAATGCACCTTCCCTTCGAATGTATCCAAGGGATTTCCCACTTTAAGTGATTACACTATATAATAAGTTGAATTATTAAAGTTCAAAATACAAACATCTTATCTCAATCTGTCTTATCAAAGTGATAATATATGCTTCACGGAATTTTAATGCCCTTTCCATTCATCCATTTGTGGATATGGAGTTTATTGTACCTCTTCATATTTTCCACTTTTGAAAACTCATTTATT